ATATTGGTGGAGGCCCCTGGAATGCGATCTGGACCGGAGCCAGACAGGAAGTCTGAAACATTTGTTCTTCTGATCCCAATTTCCACGGACAATCATGCTGAGAGATATTTTGGGACGCGGTTCTTTACCATTGGACCACAGGCAATGCCGGGTCAAACATAACAAAGCATCGGCCGGTGTCGGGTCATCTGACCACAGTACGATTTTTATATGGGTCAGTATTAATACAGGGTGTCTTCTGTGTCAGAGTATACTTGTTTACATTTCATAAAAACACCACATTACATGTACAACAAAACATTTTACATTATTTACATTTTACATTATTACAAATATAGAGTAATGTTATCTTTAATTTTAAAGAGTTTTTTTATACATCTTGGGATAACCTTTGACATCATCAGTGACCATCTTCATCACAACCTTTACACTGTTTATTATTTAAAGGACTGAAGACAGTTGCTGCTACATGTTCAGCAATTTATAATATTAATTTCACATCAGATTTCTCATGTTGTCTCCATACTAAGCTTAAAGAGGTGTATGGCTTATAAGCTTTGGTCCATCTTGTCGCAGTAAAATATCACACTAATTAAAATGTGTTTTTTAAAAGAACAAGAAACAGTGTCTATGAACAATTCAACATGTCTGCAGGTCTAGAACAAACACATTTCCATCGAATGCCAATTTTTGCTAAAACTGTCCATGCTATCGCACTGCTTGCAGGAACAGGGTGGACACATGCATTACAGGAAATAAAAAAGTAAAACTAAAAATGTTACAGCAAGGATAGATTGTAATGTTATATATATATATATTATGTCAGGAAAATTCTAAAACCATGTGATATAATAAAGGTTTTGATCCCAATGTTATTATAACAGGCTGCAGGATGGTGAGTGTGTGAAAGTAAATAGATCAGATACTGGTCTGCTGAAGCTGCTGTTTATAGTACTATTTAGCTCCACATGCTCCGTTAGTGTGGAATGAGGAAGTGTGGCAACACTGTTAAAAAAACACACACACACACACACGCACAAGCATATACAGGCTTAACTTACACTTTCACACCTTTACTGCTATTTTACATGTGCTTGTATTCATGACTGCAGCAGTAATGTCAGTTCTGACATTTTGGCCTAATCAACTCATAAACAACTACTCAACAATTACAGACTAACCTGTTGCATTTACTGCCATCTAGTGGCTACATTAATACAGGGTTTAGATTACACTTAAATCACACCTTTGCTGTTGTATTACATCAATTTATACACAGGAAAGCAGTCAGCTGGCTCTCATCAGGACCGTCCCAAGAAAGAAAGAGCAAGAGTTATCTCTGTTGCACAGGATAAGCCTCAGAAACAGCACAACAGATAAGAGCCACCTAAACACTAGTTTAATACATGATTCCTAATGTGTCCCTTGATTACTTCAGTATTAATTTACAATATAGAAAAAAGAAGAAAACATTGAATGAGAAGGTGTGTCCAAACTTTTGACTGGTACTGTATATCTCCAAATGGCTTTCCTTGTGTATATACGAAATGCTATGAATTTTGAAATCTAGAATAAAGAATATAAGATATAGATAAAGAATATAAGATATATTTTTACATACAAATAATATGGAAATATATTTGAATATATGAATACACTGTCCACTGTTTTAACAAACTGCTATTTTTTAGAGAACAATTTATGGATTGTTTAGTTGTCTTTTCAAACACAGTAAAAAAAAAAACTTATAATCAAATTATTTTTCGTATAGATAATGATGTAAATTTTGTCCTGAGCTAATCCAAACGGAAAGTTAATTAATCTGTATATTTATATTGCCATCTAGTGGCTGCAGTAACACAGAGCAGCTACACGACTTTTATGTTTGAACTACAAACCATTTAAATTTGCCAGTTTTGTATAAAAAAACTGCCATATAAGTTACATTTTGTTCTGTATTGTTTTCTACATATGTTCAAAGTTTTGATCTGACTAATAGCTGCATTATTGTTGTACATAAACAACACAGCAATTTTTGCAATTTGTTGCTGTAATATGCATTCTGTAAATTGAATTACAGTAAATATAAAATACTGTACAACAATACTGTAATTTAAACGACAGTATTTTATACGTTTTAGAAAAGTGTTAAACAAACATGAACATGTTTTGTATTTTAGATTCTTCTAAGTACCACATTTATCTTTGAGGACAGATCTGCAAACTGTTGGTATTTTAATCTCAGTGTCTTTATGAGGGAGAGTCAATTGGAATCGTTTTCCCAGCGTCTTGAATGAGTTCCTGGGGGTGCTGAACAATAGTTGCTGCTTTTCTTTCACGCAGTGAAGCTACAGCTCATCCTAAATCACCCATTGGGTGTAGACAAAATGGTTTTTTTTTTTTTTTTTTACCGTTTAACACATAATTCTATATTTGTCCCTTAATAGTTTTCATATATTTAATATACAATGTAGAAAATAAATTTGAAAAAGAGCATGCGTGATGAAGGTGTGTCTAAACGTTTGACATGCTGTGTGTGTACATGTTCTCCAGTAAAACTGTGTGCATTGTAGGTACAACAGGATTGCTGTGAGAACAAAAATAACATTGGGACTTTTATTTTAAAGAGCTGTGTTGTAGTCTTCATGTCTCTATCCGGGTATGTGTGTACTGCTGTTTTCACTTCGCAGCGATGGAGCGGCGCTGAACCCGCAGTCCCGGTAATACCGAGCCGATACCGGGCTTCCCCTTCAGAACCCGGAGCGCAAATCACTAGATATTAATCATTAATACCTGCTCTTACAGAGACACAGCACGCGGGAGAATCAGAGCTCCAGCAGCGCTTAAACACGAGCTGATATCTGTAGTAAATAATAATTAGCAGCTAGGCTAAGCTAACCGCCTGTAGTCAGTTATCGGTATAAATCTGTAAATTTTAATGTAAATTAGTGTAAATCCTGCCTGTCCCCGTGTTAATCCGCAGTGTGCTGCATGGGTAATGTCTGGGTATTTATGAGGAAGCTCTGTAACTAGTTAGCAATGCTAGCTAACGTTGACTAGCCTTGTTTACTGTTGTGTTTTTAAAAGGGAGAGTACTCTAACCCTAAATATGTCCAAATAACAGTTATTTACATTATCTCACAAAAGTGAGTACCCCTCACATTTATGTAAATAGTTTATTATATATTTTAATGGAACAACACCACAAATATGGCACTTTGATACAGTGTAGTCAGTGTACAGCTAAAGTATAACTGTGTAAATATGCTATGCCTTTTAAAACAACTCAACACAGTTATTAACGTCTAAACCGCTGCAGCCCTAATCCTGACCTCACTAACGTTGAGCTTTTGTTGCTGTTTGCAATTAATTCCTCACAGCAAATCTAAAACAAGTCTTTACTAGTCAAAATGACTATGTAAATATCTACTAGTAAAAAAAAAGAAGAAGTAGGGTTGGATAATATAGCCCTCATTTATATCACAATGTATTTGTTAATTGCGGTCGATACAATATTATTCTAATACGAATTTGAACAGTACACAATAAACTGTCTGCGGTTACACCACACACTGGCACTGCTAGGCTAAGGAGGTCTAGACTTTAGATTGAATGTAGTGAACTGATGGCATCTACCTGTAACAGTGACAGATTCTGTAATTAGTGTGTCGAAACATTGGGAAACTTTACATAATATACAGCTCTGGAAAAAATAAGAGACTACTTAAAATGATGAGTTTCTTTTATTTTACCAAATTGAAAACATCTGCAATATAATCAAAAGGGAGGCCACAATCCATTAAATATCACTATCCAGCAAGATCACAAGCCATCAACCCAAGCTGAACTGCTTTAATTTTTGCACCAGGAGTGGCAAAAATGTATCCAAAAGCAGTGTGTAAGACTGGTGGAGGAGAACATGCCAAGATGCATGAAAACTGTGATTAAAAACCAGGGGTATTTCACCAAAAATGTATTTCCGAACTTAAAACTTTATGAATATGAACTTGTTTTCTTTGCATTATTTGAGGTCTAAAAGCTCTGCATCTTTTTTGTTTTTTCGGCAATTTCTAATTTTCTGCAAATAAATGCTCTAAATGACAATATTTTATTTGGAATTTGGGAGAAGTGTTGTCCATAGTTTATAGAATAGAACAACAATGTTCATTTTACTTATACCAATAAATAGCAAATTAATTCAGAAATTGAAGTGACCTTTTTTTTTCAGAGCTTTATATATTGATATTGAATTGTTATCCAGCCATATAAACAAAATAGTTATAGATAGCTGTGTAATTTTAGACTACAACAACTCATTTCATTAGGTTGAAAATATGTTGTAAATATTGATACGCAAAACTGTTTTCATACAATATTTTTAAAAGGTCTGTATTGTAATGTCTCATTAGCTATGCAGATTATTTTTGTGTGCAAATTAATTGCAAATCAAGTACAAGTAATGCCATAAAAATAGGCCTATCACAATAAAAAATAGTTTGTGGATGATAATGATAATGATAATAGAAAACACTAGCAAACAATAGCTAAACAAATATGACCTTTTAAAGACAAGTCATTTTAAACATAGATTGGGAAAATATGATATACTTTTTTTCTTTGTCTACTTTATTGCACACTGCGTGGAATCACAGGTCTTGAACCACTGGTCATTGCATGACTGGCCAAACATGTGACCATACAACATACAAATAAACGCAACAGACGATATAATGATTATCAAATATTATTGAGGTCATGTCCATTTGTTGTACGATAAGTCAGTAATGTAATTATCGTGACAGGCCTACATAGAAACATTGCAAATAGAGGTTCAAGTGTTTTTCTTCAGTTTATAACATAACATGACTGAGTCAGTAGGATAGTTAGAAATTCCTCATATATAAAATTTTGTCAATTTGCCCAGCCTTAGCCACACCCCTGAATTACTTCATGCCAGCTGTATAACACAGTGATCTGTATTTGTAGGTTATTGACGGAAGATGAGTTCTCAGCAGTTTCCTCGAGCACCATTGCCACCCTCTGGCATTGCCCAAGGCCTGGCACAGGCTGGCAGCAGTAACCTTCTGCCAGGAATTCAACCAGGTAGATGCATGTTGTTGCTAATGTTTTTAAAGTACTCTTTGCTGATTGATTCTGAATGTGATAGATTACTGCAGTATAGTGAACCCCTTTATTGCTTTCATCTAGGTGGTGAAGATGGCAGCAGAGAGGCGGATCACCCTCAGGACCCCCTGCCCACTGGCAGTGCCGGCGGTGGAGCTTTACCATTCCGTGATGATAAGCAGGAGGCGGTAGTTGTCAGGCCCTATCCTCAAGTCCAGACTCTGAGCCAACCGCAAGCCTTGCCCCAGCATGTGCCTATCCAGCCAAGCCCCATGGTGACTGTGGCAGCTCCGCCAGCCCATCTGGCACAGGCCCAACAGCCTGCCTTCAATGAGGGGACAGTGAAGGTGATTCCCTTTCTAATTAATCAGGGGTATTAAAGAGATATTTTATCCTGCTATTGTTGGAGTAACTGTCTCTACTGTCCAGAGAAAATTCATATGGAGTTTTTTTCATTTATTTCATATGTTTAACATATGTAATCAGATAAAGTAGATGACTGGAAAGTGTAAAGTGTTTATGTAACAACTCGGTCAGTTTGTGCTGCAAGATTCCCTATAGATTCCTTTTATTTACGTCTATAAATAAGTATTAATCTACAGTTACAGTAGATACAGAATCACCAGCACCGTAATGTTTACCCATACTGCTAAGTAACTTGCCTGCATGGATGCCCAAGGATTTCGGCACAACACCTCTTTTTCTTCTTCTATTGTTTAATGGGTGACGATAGCCTGACTCAAATTCCTGTGATTGTTCTGATAGTCTGAACAGTCTAAAAAAGTGTTTGGATCAGGTATCAGTTAACTGAGACGGCCTCTTTTGGACAGACAAAAGTTTTGGCCATGGCCGTGGTTCAAACAACTTTCACAAGTGCTATTTTGCGATGTGTAAATAAGTGATATTAAGCGATAGGTTGTGGTGTAACGTGTAATATTGGCACAGCTGTGCTGCAGTCTTAGGCACTAGTACTTTGGTTACAGTGAATTACGGGTGTTATCGGCACTCATACAACACTTCGCAGCCAATCACAATGCAGTGTTCAAACTAACTGTGGTGTAATAGAGAATAATGTAAATTTGGAAATGCTGATGTCTTTAGAATTCCTCTTTTTTTCTCTGGCCATTAACCAGTTGATTTGGGCACATTACTGGTTGGTTGTTTGAGTATAAATTGTGTTTAGTTGATTTTAATGCATTTATTGTTTGTCATCGTTTTTTCATATAAAACTATACTGTTTCTCCCTCCAGGCTGGCCTAAAGCCCCCGATGCCCAGTCGGCTAATTGCCCCAGCTCCCGCTGTCAGTCAGGGGCACATTGCTGGACCAGCTAAGGTTCCTGGACACATCACTGTTACCCTAGAGAGCAGCATGGCTCCAGCGTCCATCCCTGTCGCTACCATCAGTGGTCAGCAGGTAGGTCCATTTGCCTGTTGCTGTGTTTATTCAGCTTTGGGGAGTGGTTCTATTTTCCTCATTGGGCAGGAAGTGGGGAGACTGGATATATAACGTGATATAAACCACTGATTTTAATTCTTACAGGGACAGGGTAACTTACACCATCTCATTCCGACCAATGTGCAGATCATCAGGAGCAGCACCCCTGCACTTCAGATCGGATCTCCCGCTGCTCCCCCTCATCCCTTCACCTCCCACCTACCCCGAGGTCAGACATTTACTACCAAATTTATCCCGTATGTAATGTATTTTTTGGAGCTAATGAGCCTTGTTTTTGCACATGTGGCACAGTTTAGCAAAGTAATAAACAATTACTCAGGCATGCCAGGCGCAAATACAGTACCAGTCAAAAGTTTGGACACACCTTCTCATCTATGTTTCTCTTCATTTATTAATTTCATTTATTTTTCTACATTGTACATTAATGTTTAAGACATGAAAACAATTAAGGGACCGCTATGAATTATGTAGTACACAATAAAATAAAGTGTTTATCCTCCACAATCAGTACTCTGCGTTGATACCACTGCTT